ACCGCCCGCGCAGCCGACTGTGTAGATTTAAATGGGGCCCCTTACTTCTTTGTCTGTTCAGCTTATGAAGGTGCTCATATCCCGTTACTTGAGCATAATGAATGACGAGGCATAGCCATACAAGTTTGGGAATTCCTACGGGATCACACACAACTGCTTGTATGACAATGTGCTGTCATTTATTATGCTTAAATTTAAAGTATGGAGACCTTCATAAGATGAACAGACAAAGAAGAATAAAGGTATCAGCAGCTAATCATAACATGTCCCTTCTCAAAGCCTCTCCCCTCCCTAGTAGAGGTGTACGTGCATACGAGCCTCAGAGATAAGATTTGTAGAACTTTCAGAAAAAATACACAGAAGGCATAACAGATTACCAGTCGAAATTGTCAGCTTCAGATCAGGAAGGTTCGTCTCAGTTGATTCCTACCATTTATAGGCACAGGCCACTAGTACCAGCAAGATCGAAGAAATCTCTGATGCAGAAGCCGCCGAATTTGAGAAACAGCAGTGAGTGTTTTTTTTTTGCTTTTCTTCCTTTCGTTGGCGTTTTTTATGGAGATTCTTCTCAACTCCATATTGTCAGATTTGTTTGCTATTTTATGCTTTTTCACCTTTTCTCAGAAATGGTCAACATGCTGGAGCCGAAACGGAAAGTTCAGAGACAAAGAAGTCCGAGGATGAAAAGGCAGCAGAGGACGAGGATGAAGAAGACAAGGGTAAACTTCGTCCTAACAGTGGTAATGGTGCTGATCTGGAGCACTATCAGTGGACACAGACACTGCAGGAAGTCGAGGTTTATCATCATTCTATTCCAATCTTATTTTGATTATCAGGAATAAAACCTACTGGCATATTGCCAGGTGCGAATCCCGTTCAAAGTTGGTTTCCCTCTGAAATCCAGAGATGTTGATGTGAGTGTGGAGAAGACACATTTGCGTGTTGGTTTGAAAGGTCATCCTCCTGTCATTGATGGGCCTCTGTTTCACGAGGTCAGTCTGTTAGTCGATTGTCAGTTTTTT